CATTTAAAATGTAATGTGAACGTTCACACAAAAAGATCGGATTTTTTCAAAAAATCGGAACTGAGCATTAAGACCTGCAGTGTGAACGTAGCCAAAGTGTCCAAAGGGGTGTTTAATTGTTGTGACCCTCAGGGTAATCATAGGAGCCCAATGTTTCTCTTCAGATAAGGAGCCTGCAGTGTATAAGACATATAAAAAGACTTGTTATTTTGAAACTCTCTGTTTCTGAAGCTGGAAGGTTGAGTTTTCACACAGAAAATGATCATCAAACTTTTCAGTTTTTGACTCACAAAATAACAGTAACAAAGATCTTGTGCCCCCAGTTACTTTTGGTTAAAYGTTGGGATCTGGTCAAGTAAACAAGAGCATAGGAACAATATTCATTTTGCCATTTTTATTCATTTTACTAACCACACTCTTTTGTAACATTTATGCCAACATCTTATTAAGACCCCACCTTGATGTGGTCCTGATCCCAACATTGGGACCCACTGTGTTAGACGACCTGCATGACAACCTGTTGGATAATCAGGACAAATGATTGAAAAACACWATGTTTTGTTAAAGTCAGAGGACTGAAAAACATCTTCCACAGTTCAATATATAAGAGACGATACACAAGCTGACTCCCCTCAGTCTAAAAATGGTTTTTAGATGTGTACAGTGGGACGTATGAACTTTTTATTTTAACAGACTTTAAGAGAAGCCGAGTAGAATCCAGGCTTGTATTGAATGTCCTCGTGGCCTTTTCAGGCTGGAGAGGAGAACCCTGCCGTGCACCTGTCAGTGGTGAGCCTTCACGGACCCCTGCACACGGTGGTGATGAGGAAACCTGACGACCCACGAATCGGGTGAGTGACAGACTGTCAGCGCCTCGGTCTGCGCCAAACTGYGAGCGCTACAAAAATCCCTGCAGGGGTATCTTAAAGGAGCCAGAGGCTTTTTTACCACTCACTCCTTTGTTTGTTTCAGGAAAGAGTATTACATCACCTCGGTGAAATGGGCCACCAGCACCAAGCTGGCAGTGAACTGGTTGAACCGAGCTCAGAACAACTCCATCCTCACGCTGTGTGAGGCCACCACCGGAGTCTGCATCAAGGTGACGCAGCAGGAGTTTAGTGCTACGTTTAGGAGTTTCTGTGGTGAAATCTGAAAACAAAAAGAAACACTGGTGCTTTCAGGTCAACTGATGTTTTTTTTTTTTAAAGTGATCCATGTGAAGCTTTTTCATTCTGCACAAAAACCATCAGAACTCCAAATCCACTRCTAAAAATAGGCCCTAATAAGTGGACTATTATGTCCTGTGCCGCTTGAAACCACTTTTTAACATTTTTTTCTTTTTTATTCTAGTTTGGCTTTGACTGAAATGAAACTTTTTTCTTTTAAAAAGCCAAATTTTTGTTTCTTGCCCATTTTGTTCACATTTAGTTGGTGGTTGGAGGTGCCACACATTAACTCAGCACAAACATAAATGTAAATCAGTCTAAATAAAGATTTAAATGTGTGTACAACTGAACTAATTAGCTAGTTGTTGTTTCTTTGTAAATAGCGTGAATAATTAAAGTAGTAGATTTAGCCCCACCAAGTGATTCTTTTATTACCTAAAAACATCAACATTTTATGTTTTGAAATGTATTCATTTGACTTTTTATATTGTGTTTTATATTGAGGTGATTCTTCAGTTGTTATTGGTTTTACTTGACATTTTAGACAAAAGCCCAACATTTTTTAAATGTATTTTTTTGACTCTTCATTTATCCCAGAAACATGAAGACGAGAGTGAGAGCTGGTTGCATCGGCAGGTACGTGATGTCGACCTGTTTTAAAGGGATCCATGATCAGTTGTAACATTAGACTTTATTTGATAAACATGTATTTTAACTGTAAAATAAAGACTGTAAAATACTGTAGCCTGTTTAGTTTTGTAAATTTTTCAAAATATATTTTAACATGGACGGAGCCATTTTATTTACACGCAAAGCATTCTGGGTAAATGATGACGTGGATAGGTCCTCAGTGTGAGCAAGCTATACTGTATCCACCCTGAAGGTTAATCTTGGACAATATCTGATGATCGGCTCTTTTAAATGAAACCAGAGAGCGTTGACAGAGAGGAGAAGGTAGAAATGACTCAGCCTGTAACTGAAAATATAGATGGAGGACAACAGAGCTGCTTCATGGAAGAAGAGCTTCAGCTTTGCCTGTTAGCGTTAGCCCCAATGCTATCACAAAATGTCTCAGTGCTACACATTCTCCTCTCGTCACTGAGGTCTCTATCCACATGACAGAGGGGAATGCAAAAAGGACCCAGCCTGCTACTGAAAATATGGACGGAGGACCTCAGTTTAGCTTGGTAGTTTGTTGCTTTTAGAGTTTTCAGATATGAC